ACCTAGTTCCCCGTTTTTTATAACTCGACTGATTAGAGAGGAAGAGGTGATGCAAACCCAACCCCCGGTCTTTTCCAACCTAATGGAGATAGAGCCGAGCGAAAAATATCAGTGGGTTGGTATCAACGAGATCGCGCAGTTGGTACTAGGTTTCATGTTGCTAACTCAGTGAATGGCCCATTGTGGCTGGTCAAGTATTAAAATTTCGAAAAAAATCGCACTTTTTCAGCTTTTCATACCTGCTAGACCATGCCTTGCGGGAAATAAAGCTTGAACAGGCGTATTCTTTGCTTAATTCTGAGCTCAGTTATCGGCCATATTTCATGTGTGTAAGGATGTGCTCATTACGTAAGGCTTCGTTTACGTAACACTGCCAGCTCGCCTCACGCGTCCCGTGGTATCGTCGGTTGCTGGCCGCCGCATCCTGCGGCAATAGACCACCGTGCAGTGTTTTTCAAAGACCGCCACTGCTCCGAAACCAGAAAAATAGGAACACGTTTCTCGTGTCAAAGACGTGCAATTATGCTTCACTTGTTACATAAAATGAGTTGGGATTGCCAAGCATACTAGAGAGGTGTCTTACGCTGGGAAAACAAGGCATTAAGGATGATGAGCATGTTTAAAACGAAACTAGAATGACCCTCCAAAAATTGGGAGGCGGTGGAATGTGCCCACCAGTTGCCCACAAACTCTCCTCAGACAACAGTGTTGAAAAAGGTTTAGACCATTAAAGTATATCTTGCTCTTTAAGTGTTGTAATGAGCGCAATTGCATCTCAACTGATATTTCGTGAAAAAGTGTAAATAGAACTTTGAACAATGAGAGCGCTTCAGTCTCCTCTCGTGAAGGGCAGACATTGATATGAGTATCTCACTCTCGTGGGTCAGTGAACGTTCTTTTCGCCTTCGCTTTGAGATACATTTATTAGGGAGAGTAGGTAAAAATGACGTGTAGAGATGCAACAATTGTTGTTCTGGTAGACACGTGGAAATGGATCAGCTGGTTCAGCATGCTTGAATTAAAGCTGCTGCCATTATTCTAAAATTGGCTGACTGACTAAGTAAATGGAAACTAAAGTGGTGACATGAAGTCAATCTTTTTGTATATTTATTGGACAGGAACTTGGATTTCAAAACTCTGTGGCACGCTTTTTACCAATAAAACATGCTGCTGCCTAATTTTCAACTCTGAAATGCAACATCACTCAGTGGTGTGAAATGGGATTTCTGACAAGATTATAATAAGATAGGTTATTAGATTATCAGACATTTCAGCTACTGCGACAGACATAAGCGATCTAGATTTCCATAGAACCATTTATGAATGTATCTCATTCTTATCAATTTTGTAATGTCATGTGTTCATTACATAATGTACTTCATTGGGGATCCTTTTCTAAGTCGATGTCTTCATTGACATTTCAGGGACTATTCGACGATAATACGTTTTCATCTGTTTTAAATCCCTTCAGCACGCGTGAGCCGGCAGATTCGAGCATCCGGTCCGGTTCTAATCCAAGTTTTGGTGAACATTCCTGATCCGGTCCAATCCTCCGCGCGGATTGATACAATCCGTGAACTGCTCCAGCGAGCACACGATTCTGTGCCTTAGTCGCACTGCTTTGATCGCACGCTGCTATGGCCCAGGCTGCTTAATGTTCCTTTTACACGTCTAAATATTCCCCGCGCATATATGCGCTATCCTACACGATAAATGGCTCATATGCAGCAGACTTGGCCTCGGTTGGGATCATTGTTCATAAATCGTCCCCCTCCGGTGTGTTAGTATGCACACATTTCGCCCAGTTGACACTACCGCTGTCGTTACATTTGAGTCTGGAGAACGACAGGCCGATGTTTAGTTTTCATCCATGGAAGTGACACGATCAGACCAATCTCCTTGGAACTGCTGGGATGCGAACCAGGGTCTTTTGATTGCGAGTCTAGGGTTGTAGCGACGGAGCTATTCGCGCAGGGCAGCTTATGGAGCACTGGACTCGCAATCAGAATACTCCGCTTTGAATCCGGCAATTCAAGTCAAGAATTCATGTTGCGGCCCCAAACATGGCTGGAATTGATGCCGAGCCAACAAAGCCAACACAATTCAGTCCTTCTCAGGACTCAATAACGCCTAATAACGGCAGGAGAATTAATCGGGCGAAGCATTGTGTGCGTATTCGCGATGCTATTTGGAGACCAACATTTAGGTGAACCGCAAAAGCGATGTGCATTGATTCCATGTTCGGTTTGTCTTTGGTGAAATGGTCGGTCTTTTTGGACTATCAGCTTTGGAATATGTTTAATCGCAACGCAGCGGAATCTCTTAGGCAAAATTCAAGTTTTTGACCCGGATCTTCGCAGATTACTGTCAAGGCAAAGCAAGCATCATGCGATCAAAGAGGTCTACACGCGAACGAAATGAGGTTTTGAAGCTCCGCAGGTTATTGAAAGTTGTGGTACGCCAGCCACTGTTACTGTTCCTCAAGTTTATTGAAAGTTGTGGCATGCCAGCTACTGAAAAAACACACATGGTGAACCCCATCATATCAAAACTGACTCGACGTGCTCGCCGTGTGCTGTTAGCTATGCCTGCGGGCAGACACTGTACAATCATAGCACTGAGCCGCTTTCGAAAAAGGTCATACCGCGTGCATGTGAACCGCTGCAGCAATACGGAGTTATCCGTTGAGATATCTTAACTAGAATACTAAGAAGAGGAACAAAGTTGTAAGTAGATACCGCTGCTGCTACCAAATACTCTAGTCGATTAATCACGATTATGGCACGTCCCACTTCAACCAAAAGCACCTCACGCGCGTTATCGGTGGGTCACCACTTGCTGATGACGTCATATGGTGCGCATCTTGTGGGGAATAATCATTTATCGCCCCCTTTTACCACCACTTTGGCAGTTGGATTATCGAGTTGCGGTACTATATACCAGTCAGCAATTATTTTTAAGTATATTACCTCATTGCAGACACAACATGGCACTTATAGAAGAATGTTAAGTTCTCCGTATCATTCATTCTCTGTCCCGGTGGTTCAGTTGGTTAGATTGCCTGCCCTCCGATTCACCCACCGGTGGCAGGGTGAATTCGAATCGCTGTAGGCGCTCACTATTTACCCTCGACAGACATGGCCTGCGGCCGGTGGCAGCGGCCGTGGTAAAGGTCAGATGACGTCAGAGAACTGGACGGACCGTGCCAAGCAGTGCGGTGTGTTGAGCTTTCACCACCACATTCTGCCATTGTCTTGGCATTGCGCCATCGGGTGGTAGAGGTAAGGGCCTACACAACAAGCACTGCTTAGCGTGAGCTCTGATGCCAGAAATCTGTTAATTCAAAACGCTCGAATTCAATAAAAAAAAACGTTATTTTGATGGGATTCATTGCTGGCCATCGCAAGCCAAATCTGGAGATGTCGGCTCATAAAGTCACTGCGAAATGGTGGCGATATGTGATAGAATTAGCCGGTCCGTGCATTGCTCTCGCCAGCGCCTAGCCCGATGCACGTACCAGCTACGCGCACTCGAGCTGTTGCCGAACAGCTGTGTGTACACAGGAGCGTGCGTACGATTTCTCAATGGTAATCAGCATAACCCCAACTTTTTGTTCAAAACGCAGTTTGGGGCGCCGCAACTTTTAACGTGTCGTAAAACTACGTCCCATATTCTCGGTCATATTATTTTACGTATGTCTCTAGATTTTAACTGTCAACGATTCGTCACGAACGTGTAAATGCATGCCATAACCTTGGTGAAGGTACGCGGGCGCTGCGGGTTACTATGTGCGTTCGCCCCGTGTGTGCTCACGCTCGTGTGTTTCAGCCACATTGTTTTTTGCGTCGTCACGACCCCGGCTGCACACGTCTGAATATTTTCGGCTCGGGTATGCAATATGCTGCACAATATGCGGGAGAATTAGTTAGTCCAAGTATTGTGCCTGATGCCGCGCGGTCTGTGCACGCGGTGACGGATATCAGCGTCAATACAGCTGCATACTGTCGTCTCAGCTTCGTGTAGCATTTTTCAGTCGCATTTTTTCGTCTCGTGTGGCTGTGACTGCGGAAATTGAATACCTATCGCACGTGATACAAGCACGAAAGGTCTTGAGCTCCTCGTTTTTCGTCATGGTGGGTTCAGACTTTGTTTATGCTCACAATAATAGATCTTCAATATACGAGAGGGTGCTGGTTGAATGGTGGTATAACAACGGGCTAAATAAATGTGTCTGGCATTGATGGTGTAGCTATAAGATCTGTAAACGATACATACAGCTACGCGGTGCAGTTGGCTTTGCGCTGTTTTCTGCTCGGGTCCGTGAGATCCAACATTAATCCTGAAAACGCCTAAAATCCATCGGATGTTTGTCTTGCGCATGAGGCGCACTGAGCGGCTGTGTGCATCAGTTTACACGCTTCGCTGCACGATTGCTCATTTTTCAGCATCGACGTGTGGAGTCGAGTTACGCTGTATGCCTCTTTGGGGAGCTATTAACCGGATTTCGACACGCGTTTCGGCGATTTTTACGGCTTTAGAATTTCGTGCTTTTCTTTGACATGCCAGTGAGTCCGTTTGCACGGGCCCTCGGGGTCCTGCCGGTCGAATCAGGTTCGCCGCGCTCCCCCCCCCCCCTCCCCTACCACCTGAGCCAAGTTGTTTGCCAACAGGTCGCGCTGTACGGTTACGGTTGTTGGACAAAAGTCCAAAAGTCAGCTTGGAGAATATGGAGAATATGGAATAATATTTTGTCGATTGCTAAATGACGACTTCAAATTGGCGACAGGAAATAGTCGACGTGGCAAAGAAGCGAATCGGCTGAGCCGCAAGCTGCAAAAAGGCAAAATCCAAACAAAAACATGCAACGATATCAGAAAGTCAAATGGCGAACCGCAAAATGACATGTAGAGAACCGGGCATGCGACTACGCGACAGACGAACCGTGGCGCGCCTGAGGCCAGCTCTGCCCGTCCACAGGCGAAGCGGGCCGACCATGAAACATGTCGTCGGGCGTGGTGCGAGCCTGCGACGAGTCAGCCGGCTCGTGTCCGTCCGTCGTCAACGTGACGTCGCGTGACGTCAACGTGACGTCGCTGCTGCTGGAGAACGGCTATGATGTCAGGAGCTGGCTGCAGCTCGGTAGGCTCCACTGGGCACCGACGCCAGCGGCTGACGATGAGTGATGGTCAAGCAGCCCCGGACGTGTTTTTCTTGGGTAGCAGGGTAACGTTAATGGAGGGCCAGATCTAATTGATTGGGTACACTCGCATCGTTGGTCATGTGTTTCCATCTCATTATAGGCGTGTTTTATAAGTCTGCGTGTCTGGGGATCGTGCCCTTTTTCCTTCAGCTTATCCCTTGTTATTTCCCCCCCCCCCTCTCTCTCTCTCTCTCTCTCTCTCTCTCTCTCTCTCTCCTCTCTCTCTCTCTCTCTCTCTCTCTCTCTCTCTCTCCTCTCCCTCTCTCTCTCTCACTCTCTTTCTCCGTCCATTATCTCTCCCTTCATCCGTATCCATTAAGCTCGAGACCGGTGCGCACATGCAGCTGCTGAAAAAACACACGTACCACGCTGCGAGTAATGACTTCTAGCTGAAGGTGTAAGCGAGGCCGTGCATTCTCAGTAACCCTCAGCGATGAACCCGGGAAGGAAGGGCAAAACAGTGTCTATCTCGTGTTACGCCATGCAACGCTTGGTTCATATAAACCATTTTCTGTGCGGGTAGCCTGGCTCCAGCATGCTAATCTACCATCCTCGCCACTGACGTCACCCTGTGTCCGCTCCCTGCTCGTAAGCTCCGTCAATGGTGCCGTGTCTGTCACAGGCCTCTGCTCGCGGCCATACCTGCAGTCAATCCAACCGTTCTGGGCGCGCTTTCCGGCGCCACCTTACTGGTACCATCTGGCTATAGCGGCCTGCTACGCCCTGATCCTGCTGGTGGGATGCGCCGGCAACCTCTTCGTCATCTGCGTCTTCGCCAGGTGAGAGTTCAGTGCGCCCATCCTTATGCGCGGAGGTTTTTCGTCATCGGCGTAACCGCCAGATGATGGGGCGTAATGGCCGAGTGGTTAGCGCCTTTAGCTCCCACGTGCGGGGCCGGGTTCGAAACCCCGGTCGCGCCGTGGCCTCTTGAGTGCTATTCGTCCGCTGAGTCCGAGGCTGATTGCTGAGTCTACATCTCTTGTCGCTAGATGGCAGCGGCTTAGTGGATCTGGAGTGGTAGGCTGTTCCGCAGTACCCAGCTGAGACCGGCCCGTGGCTGAAGAACAGGATATCTTAACGCATCGGTACCACCCCGACTGACGCTATTGTATGGATTCAAGACATTTGGAAAGCGCTAATGAGGCATCATGCACGCAGTATGTGCGTTTGCATGACAGATTGAAGAAGACAAAAGCTCCCCGCCCAAATACGCAGTTCATGCTTTCAAACTGCCGCACGTTTCGATCTGGTATAATACATGCCGTGGGCGTGTCTGCACGAGCCTTTGGAGACGGCCCACGGAGGCGACATCACCAACACCATCTTATTAAATACCTCACGATACCCTCTAGACGTAAGCCTTGTCCGTTATCTGAGACTCAAATCAGCAAAAGACTTCAAAAGGTCACTGAGACGGTGAACTTTTGCGTTGCAATTTGTTTAGTATTTGTCTGGTTTGGCTGGAGAGGTTCTGCCTTTGGCTATGCTGTTGCGTTAATATGACTCGCTCCTTTTGTTTAAACGTGATATTAATCGGTCTGGGGAAAATGTGAAATGCATAAATGGCGAAATATTCCAAAAAAGCATATAAGGGTAGCTCTGGTTTTGGAACGCCCCATTATTTAACACAGTGTATTCTTTAATCTAAAAGAACATTGCCAGCTAAGACATGCCCTTGAAAACTCCTGGAGCGTGGATATCCACGCAGCACACTTCAAAAAGCGTACCTACTTGAGGGTTGCATGCAGTAAGCAAATGTGTCATAAATGGTGCATAACCTATTCTAACGCAATCCGCAGGCACCGGAAGCTGCGAAAGCCGTCGAACCTGCTGCTGTTGAACCTGGCGATCAGCGATCTGGTGATGGTGTTCAAGTCCGTCACCATCGTCACCAATTCGGTGTTCGCTGGGCCGGTGCTCGGTGTCATAGGTGAGTTTGCATGGGGAGCCGAGTGGAAGGGAATGGTTGTATAGGGGATGGTTATGCATGGAGAGCGGAGTGGAAGGGGGGTAGTTTTATAGGGGGATGGTTATGCATGGAGAGCGGAGTGAAAGGGGGTAGTTATATAGGGGATGGGTATACATGGAGAGCGGAGTGGAAGGGGTTTAGATATAGGGGATGGTTATACATGGAGAGCGGAGTGGAAGGGGTAGTTATTTAGGGGATGGTTATGCATGGAGAGCGGAGTGGAAGGGGGTAGTTATATAGGGGATGGTTTTGCATGGAGAGCGGAGTGGAAGGGTGGTAGTTATGTAGGGGATGGTTATGCATGGAGAGCGGAGTGGAAGGGGTAGTTATGTAGGGGATGGTTATACATGGAGAGCGGAGTGGAAGGGGGGTAGTTATATAGGGGATGGTTATACATGGAGAGCGGAGTGGAAGGGGCTAGATATAGGGGATGGTTATACATGGAGAGCGGAGTGGAAGGGGTAGTTATATAGGGGATGGTTATACATGGAGAGCGGAGTGGAAGGGGCTAGATATAGGGGATGGTTATACATGGAGAGCGGAGTGGAAGGGGTGGTTATATAGGGGATGGTTATACATGGAGAGCGGAGTGGAAGGGAATGGTAATACCTCGCATGCGGCAGCCTTTGACTTCGGCGTGGGGTTTTGGGGATACGCTGGTGCAGGGGAAAGAGATATTGGTACATGCTGGCAAAAGCAATCACGCAAACTTTAAATAATCGTGCATTTAACTATAAGCCACAATACGAAACCCGGTTAGGGCTGTAGGGAAATGATGGTGAGTTCGTAGGCAGCCAACCGGATTTTACAGCAAATTTCAGCATCACGAACAGCATATCTTACACCAACGAACTCTGCTAAACTATTTGCTGGGCTTTTGGACCTTTACAACCGATTGTATCTTCACGGCCAAGACTACATTCAGATGGGGTAAATAAGGTAGCCATGTAGGTACGACACATTCGATCTTTGTTTATTCCGCTAATCACGCTGGTTAAGTCGATGATGCTGATCTCTGATCTCGTTGGTGTTAATGTTATCGCTGATAATGCTCCTGTTCTTGTCCTCTAATGTTCTTCTGTTCCTGTTGAAGTTGACGTTTGCTGATGTTGCTGTCTGTCAGGTTGTTCTTTGTTTCCATCGATGTTGTTGCTCCACTCGATGCATTTGATCGGCTTCTCGATGAAGGTCACGTAAAGCTGCTTGGAATAGCCGTCTTTTTCGAACCAGCTTGGAAGTTCTTTTGATCCGAGAGTTCACTTGCGGTGGCATTCGATGACATGTCCATGGTTCGCCGTAATTGTGGACAGAGGACGTCGCAGATGACGTCGGGTCTTTGTTGTCGGAGACAAGATGGGATAATGGGCTATCGATGCCGATCCAATAATGGCTGGGTTTCATTTTGAGCTCGGTTGAAAGCTTGAAATTTGCATCCGCCGTCGCCAGTGTGTCCATGAATGCAAGCTGGGCGGATGTATGGGCGTATTTTAAGGAACTTGGTGCTGCTGTGGATAGTCAGATAGTTCGGTAAGTCCAACAGCTCATCGTAGGAGTGACTACAGACCCTTTTGAGTCGTCGAAATATCTAGTGTAAGGATGAGTACAGACCCTTATTGAGTCGTCGAAATATCTAGCGTAAGGATGAATACAGACCCTTATTGAGTCGTCGAAATATCTAGCGAAAGGATCAGGTCTCAGTCTTGCTTTGTTAACACGCACTCGGGTGGGCGCGGGGGGGGGGGCAGATTTCCATCCCCCGGTCGCAAAGGCTTTTCAGAGTGATTTCCAGACGGCATGGCTACGCCACGCTTGACTTTATCTATATGTAGAAAATTGAATAGCGGATATTTGTATGTAAAAAACTAGATAAACTTATAAGTTAACCGACCTACGGCAGGTCAAAATCAGGTCATGGCTGTCAGCGAAGGGCATTTCTAGGGAATCGCTTAATGTGCTGCAACAACGGAGTATTCGACGAGGGCCATACATATGTGAGACAGTTTCGTAGGTAATAAAACGATTGAATTTAGAACAAAAACCACTTCAACTGACCTAGGGTCAGGTATAAAAGTCAGAACAAGACTTAAGCTAACCTGTTTTTACCCGAAAGCTTGGTTTAGGGGGTAGTTCTGGTGCTCATTTCGAGGTTGTTGATGAGAGTGATCGCAATACATATGTTCTATGTACTTTTTGAAGATCAGAGTAGGTCACTGACCTCAAATGACGACGGTCAACACTTTGCTGTTAGAAAAATATCACCTAGCATAATCCCTGACACGTATTCGAATAGCCAAATAGGAACAATCTTGTGAATATTTGATCATCTTGGCCAAACGAGGTTACTGACTTCACTCTCCTGTTGCATAGAACAGGTATGTCGTCATGCCATCGCTTCATGGCAATTGCATGACGAGGTCTGCTGGCAATGAAGCACGTATTTGGAGTTTGACTCTGCTTGACCTTATTTGACTCGAAGGTCATGATCTAGAAACCTCAAACTCTGACACAGCTAAGTTCACTTAGAGGTTAATCTACCTTGTGAATTTCGTGTCTCTAGCCATCTTAGCTTTTACATCTCAGGAGGGGTCAAATTGCCTGCACCCCCACCCGAGAAAGGGGTATTCAGCCGGCCAACCAGGCATACGGCACCTCGTTCTTATACGTGCATGCAGATTATTGTAACGGGAGAGGGTTCCCATGGTTTCCCATGGTTTCCCACCTCGTTTCCCATGGCGACACAGAGTTGCTGTTTGTAGCTGTCTGCTGAATATGAAGATAATGTTTTGAGACAGTTGGTGAGAATACCGTGGTGTCTTCAGATGTGAGACCACCGTGGTGTCTTCAGATGTGAGACCACCGTGGTGTCTTCAGATGTGAGACCACCAAGGTCAATGTCATTCTGGGGATGCCAAATAAGGTCAGTGACCGCCAATGCAGCCTTTCTCAGAAGATGCTGCTATACAGCTTGAAAATATCGATGCTGAAGACTGCTGCGTTCTTAAGAAGTTGGTGGTCAAGGAACTGATCTATGAGCCTTGTCAGGTATCCTCGTGTTTCTGAGGTGAGCCAAGATGTAGCTGGAAGACAAAAGATTGGTTTGTGATCCTTTGAGAGCCGATTTGCTTGTTTATTTGTTTGTTTTTTTTGGTCGGACCACAGCAAGCACATACAAAAGGCCGTGGGTGTAGTTTTGCTTTAATTTGCTCCCTGCTTAATAGCCCTTTATCAGTCAAAAGAAAGGTGGTGTTGTGCAGTGCGTAGGTGGAGGGTCCCTCACAACTAGCTCCAGTGCTAATTTGCCGTTGCGGTATGTTTAAACACATTGTGGCATTTTGCTTCGATCTTTCCCACTAGGTGGCTGGGAAGTTTGCTGTAATTGCTTTCGTCAGGCAGCATATCTTACACTTTTTCGACATGTCGGAGATGTTTTCGACATGGCATGCATTGATAATGCGATCTCACCATTATGTCCTCTTTCATTCTCAGCAGCTTTCAACAACTTCAAACATTTGTGTTCCTCTGCCGAAGTACTTTCAGTTTTCTCGAATGGCTTTGTACACGTTAAGAACGCGTTTTTCAGCGACCTCCGTTGTCTTTTTTCAATTTGTTCTTAACTCCGTGGAGGCTGCTTTGAACTGAAGCGGGGGAAGTTCAGCCGAAATTTGTTTTTCGGAATTGTAAGAACCACCAGCCCGTAGTGTGATGGGAGGAGCAATGTGCATTCTGATGAAGTGCCAAACGTGGCTCTGGAGTCACGGCAGGTTTGTCATTACTTTGCATCTGAATGTTTGCTTTGAGACCGGTTTCAATAGCTGGTAGTGTTTGATGCCAGTAGAATACGACTTAAACGTTTGGCTGTGAGGAGGTCATTTCAGCTCAACTGAACACTTACGACTCAAAAGGGCCGATACGAACACCTTTGCCTAAGCTCGCCGTCTAAAGGAATGTGGGATTATGCTCAGTACAGCTTCATTGAAATGGAGTTGGGGGGGGGGGGGGTTCTATGTGTTCGACACGGCTGGTGCTGCGCCGGACGGCTGGTGAAGATGTCAGCTTATCGTCAGATGTTCGAGCCTTCGAATGGTTTGGTTTGAATTTGTCGGACTATTGCGCTTTTTGTTTTGTTTTGATGTTGCTTTCTTTTTGCATAGATAAGACAGACGTAATAGCTTTATTCCTCCGAGAAAAACTAGGAGAATGGAGATATAGATAGGTATATATTTCGGCAGCATGCCTTTATGGAAACAATAGCAGAAGCGAATTTCTGCTTTTCTACTTATTTCAAGGCTATCAGTGCTGTCTTATCTATGTGAATGATGTTCCTCGCCAATGCACTCAACAACTTACGTAATTTTCTTTTTGCTTTGAAAAGATCCTGTCGCAAGTCGTCGCGCATAAAATTTTGGAGCAGACTGCAGAGTCTGCAGTCTGCAGACTGCAGACTGCAGACTGCAGACTGCACTTACGACTGCAGAGGTCATAGCAGCGCTCAGGCGGAGCAGGGATTCGATCCCCTGCCTCCCCCTGAAGTTGCAAATCACTCGGTCATTCACCCAACCCTATATTTCTAAAAATGTCGCAGCCTCATGACCCCACCATGTTTATATGTTTTATCAAGCTTATTCTGTTGGCTGCATCTCATCACGAGCTGGGCACGTTATGAGGCAGTGATGTGTGATATAGAAGACTGTCTTGTCAAAATTCTACAGAGTGTCAAACCATTTCTGAATTTTACATTCCAAAGTATTTTTGTTGTCAGGCCACTGTTATGGAACATGATCTATAATACAACATTTTACTCGATGGAAAAACTGAAGAAATGCACATTTACCTGGAAATCTATCTTTTGGTGCAATAGTTTTGTGTGTGTTTGAACTCTGGCCACCTGTGAACGTTCCTATTGTCATAACATTATTCTAGTGGTCGTGACACTGGAGGACAAGCAAAGCGCTGCGCCAAGT